ACATATAGAAGTCGTGTTTACTTACCTATACCAATGATCATCTGTCAAACTTTTTGGGACGATGTTTCCCATGTATGCAAAGATCTGAAAAAAGCGAGGTTTCGAGCACAATTAGAAATACTCTTTTATCTAGCTCAAGCTGAAACGTTTCAGCCTAGATGTTTGAAGGTTTTAATTAAGGCGGACTCCAAAATCGTGTTGCACAAAGAGATTTCCAGTTTAGATTAGATTTCACTTCGGTATTCGAACTTCTCGACTTCTAAACAACAGGTTCATCAAATTAAACGATTACTAATGAAGCCACCTAGGTAAACAAAATTCTGCAACCCCAAAAAGTTCATATAAGTAAAGTAATAAGAATGAGAAGCTTGAAAAATCACGATTACGGGGAGAAGGAGAGAATTGAGAGCCTCGTTTCACCCAATTACCGAGAATCTACGGAAAAGATAAAAATAATCCGTTTGACAACAAGTACCTCCGCTCTCGATTAAGCTTAACTGAAGAGTAAACCCACAATACTTAAAAATTGACCTCCAGTTCCTTGATGATTTCTTTGAGTTTCTCATGATGTTCGGATGAAATTGTCTTATATACTTTCTCAGATGGCATCAATGCTTTCAATAACTCTTCATAAGGAATATCGGCAGTAGATTGCTCTACTTCTTCTGCTGTTTCCGAGGCTCTAAACATCAGGAGCTTTTCATGAAACTCTTGTTCTATCCATTTACTTGACTGGAAACACCTAAACACGTAGATACCTACCGTATTGGCTCCCGGGGAGCTGGAGATTCCTGGGATGCTTGGGTGGAAAGTGTTCGTAGACCAGGAAAACTCGACGGGACGCTTATCGGTCGCAAAAGTTCAAGATTTGTCAGACAACGTAATACAGAACGAGATATTACACGTAACAACATACTCTGAAAAAGGCTGAAATAAAGCCGTAACCGCAGTTATTTGGTTCGAGCACCTCGAGCTCGAAAATAAATTAGTAAATCGATTCAATAAAAATGTAGTGCAGCTAGCAATTTAACCTCTAACATTAGACAAATAAAAAAAATAAAAGATAAAACTATTTGGTATTATTTCACTTGCAGGAGTAAATAATAAAAAAAAAGACGAATTCTGAACGGTACAATGTGCAAACACGACGGAGACGCAAACATCACGTCTTGACGTCGAGGG